ATACAATAAAAGCAGTATATCACACATCCAAAACAATAACATATAACTATAAATTAAACAATTAAAAACCAAATACCTGTTGTCTTGCCCAGTTCTTAAGTATGAGTTATTTGGAAGTTGAATGCTTGTAATTCAGAGACTGCCTATATTTTACATAATCGTAATATTGGTTATTTTGATCCTTGATACAATATTTTAAACATTTTTTAAAAATGGATTTTGCTTTATGAAATCAAATATCAAATATCTATATAAATAAAAATGTAATGTTCGTTTGTGGGATTAACAGAACTCAAAAACCACTGGACGAATTGACACCAAATTTGGACAGCATACACCTAACAACCCAATGTATGTCTTTCACTAAAAAAATTGATTTTGTCATTTGGGAGTTGTAGTTGCTGGGATTTATAGTTCACCTACAATAAAAGAGCATTCTGAACTCCACCAATGATGGAATTGAACCAAACATGGCATACAGGACTCCCACAACCAACAGAAAACACTAGAAGGGTTTGGTGGACATTGATCTTGAGTTTGGGAGTTGTAGTTCACATACATCCAGAGATCACTATGGACTCAAACAATGATGGATCTGGAGCAAACTTGGCACAAATATTCCATATGCCCAAATATGAACATGGAGTTTGGGGAAAATAGACGTTGACGTTTGGTAGTTGTAGTTACTGGGATTTATAGTTCATCTACAATCAAAGAGCATTCTGAACCCCATGAATGACCGAATTGGGCCAAACTTCCCACACAGAACCCCCATGAGCAACAGAAAATACTTAAGGCCATCCAGTCCAACTCCCTTCACCAGGGCAAGAAAATGTCATCAAAGCCCTCCTGATGAGCAATCCAGCCATAGATATAGATAGATATATATGATTCACACACAGAGAGATATATAGTATAGATTTGAAAAGGACCCCTAAAGAAGGACAGTTATATGTTGCATGTTCCAGAGTAGGCAAACCGGACACTCTCCACATCAACACTGACAAAGAAACAACAAGAAATACTGTTTACCCACAAGCATAACGAAATTACATATATTAGAAACCAACACTTTCTCATTATTTTATTTTCCAGATCACCAGACTGGGCCACAGCAACGCGTGGCAGGGGACAGCTAGCATTATTTAAATATTTTATTAAATTTACAACTGTAATGCTCTCTTTCTTTAATAAGTCCCACTAAATGTAGTGTGGCTTTCTCTTTGTAGGCATACATTAGATTTCCACAAGTTTCCAGGTTTCATTTTATTATATTACTAACACCGGCTTTGACAAAAATGTTACATTTTCTGAAGGAGAGAAGATTCAAGGCTATGACCATTTATTATGTGATTCACAGATTAGGATTGGACAATATTTCTAGATTATAGCACCTCTTCCAAAGAGGATTGTGTCTGTTCTTTTGGTTCTGATGAAAATAACCAAACAATGCGAAGACTTTAAATTAAGTCGATGGACTATTTTTCAGTTATATTTACCAACTGTGAAACTTCCCCTCATGTCATAGTTACGCATATTTATTGAAAAAGACATACTACAGGATGTTCTCTCAAATAATAATACATAATGAACATTTTTGAATGTCAAAACACTACTCAGAAATAGAAACTTTTACTAAAATTTTATAATATAGCTTTCTAGTTTGTGAAGGAAATATATAATAACTATTCCAACAGTGTTATGATAACCCCCTGCATATGATGGACGAGATTTGTACATATTTACGTACTTTTTTCTTAGATGATCTACTCTCACTGTCTATGCTAATATTTTCAACTGTTGGGAAAAGTACCTTCATGGCTAAATGTAATTAGAAGCTCATAAATCAAGGTGCATACATCTGAAAGAGCTAACTACTGGTAATGTTACATAGGTATTGCATACTCTCCTCCACATTAATATTGTTTTAAAGGTATTTATGAAGTAGCTGATTCGCATCAACAAATTAATATTTGCTACTCACCACTTAGCTATGTCTAAAAAAGTACAGACCAAATAATATGTTTGCCTCCTTGAAAGTGAATCCCCCCCCCAAGACATATGGTGTACTTAGTTTAATGCGAAATCAAAATATTAATAAATGTTTCAAAGCTACATGTAATTTTCTTCCCCTCCTATGCTAACCTCAAACACGTCACTAATGTAAGAGGTAGAAAATAAATTATGTTAACCTTCCTGTTAAACCCACATACTGTACGTGTGTGTGTATGTGTGTATCTCAAAGTCATTTTTGCTCTCTTTCAGATCTATTTAACTTTGACTGGATTTGTGTCTTGGCTGTGTTCTTTTTTGTACTTAATTCCCAGTTGAGGGAACAAAACAATAAAATAAAACCACAAAGGTAAATTTGTATTTGGATTACAGTTAGCCTTCGGGCTGATATGGGTGGGATAGAAATAATGTAAATAAATAATAAATAAATATAGTTATTAGATTAAAACAGAATATAAATTATTAATTTCTATTTAAAATACTGTTTATGTTTCATGTTTGCATATTTGTCTATTTTAAATTGTATGCTAATGCTTTTATTTTAAGCAACTTTGAGTCCTCTTTGGGAGAAATAAAATGGGATGTAAATAATAATAATAATAATAATAATTATTATTATTATTATTATTATTATTCTGGAACATGGCCACAGCCCAGAAAACTCACAGAAATGCAGTGATTCTGGCCATGAAAGCCTTTGATAACAACAACAACAACAACAACAACAACAACAACATAATAATAATAATAATAATAATAATAATAATAATAATAATAATGTTCCAATACAACAGCCAGCAGAGTGATCTTGCCTACTGTGGTCTCATCTTGTTGTGTTTCTAATAATAATAATAATAATAATAATAATGTTCCTATACAACAGCCAGCAGAGTGATCTTGTCTGCTGTGGACTCATCTTGTTGTGTTTCTAATAATAATAATAATAATAATAATAATAATAATAATAATAATAATAATTGTAATATAAAAATACAATGGAAGATGATTAATTGGTCAACCAAAATCCCAGAAAAACCTCAATGGAAGCAATGTGTAACTTGTTCCAAGCGAAGTCATATTATCACATTAAAATGATATTTAACCAAGAATCTTGGGAAATTTGTACTTTCTCCTCTCCTCCCACAGTAATGTCCTGTTCTAGCCCTGTTTACACCTAAATGAATTTCACTGTTTTGAATGGGATTTACTTCCAGGTAAACTTCTGTGCGATTTTCTTTTTTACTTGTTTACTTGACATGTTAGACGCTGCCGTAAAATCCAGATTATCCAAGCAGACAATCCACATTATCTGCTTTGAACTGGATTATATAAGTCTACACTGCCATATAATCCAGTTCAAAGCAGATCATCAGGATTTTATATTGCAGCGTAGATTCAGCCTTAGATAACATCTAAGGGAATCCTGGATTAAATCCACGTTGACCGAGCCTGCGCTTTTGCACGTCAAATACACTTTAATGCAAAATGATAAACTTCAAAACAAATGCAACTTATTAGGCAAGGGGTGTTTTACTCGAAAATGAAGAGATATATATATATATATATATATATATATATATATATATATATATGCCATCCCCTGCCACGCGTTGCTGTGGCCCAGTCTGTGTATTTTGTGTTTTGTATGTGTATATATATGTGTATATGTGTGTGTATATATTTGTGTATATGCGTATATATGTGGTTTTGTGCATGCATTGTAATGGGTTTTTTTTTGGCTTTTAAGTCTCTTCTGCTGTGTTTTTCAGTGTTTTTATCAGTGATGGTCACTCGTTGGCCTGATAGGTGTATTGTGTCCAAATTTGGTGTCAATTCGCCCAGTGGTTTTTGAGTTACGTTAATCCCACAAACAAACATTACATTTTTATTGTATTGTATTGTATTGTATTGTATTGTATTGTATTGTATTTTATTTTATTTTATTTTATTTTATTTTATTTATATTTTTATAAATAAATATATTATGTTCACGCTAAAATCTTGGCTAACTTAAATCAGCCCTTCTGGGGACGGCAATTATTTTTTCCTGAATCGATTCCTGATGAGGTAATGCCATTTAAGAAAGAGCAAAATTCTATGTATGGAATGCAGCTTTCTAGCTTTTGCTAACTACATTTTAACTTGGTTCACAGGATAAATCCACTTTTCTAATGTTCCGTCTAAAATATCTCAGTATGCTGACATTTCAGTCTTTCCACTCTGGGTTGGGAATATGTATCTTATGATGCATGGTATATATATATTTTCCCTTCACCTTTTATTTGTAGCCTCTCCAAGGAATTGAAAGAAGATATGCAACGCCCATTCCAGTGCCTCCTTCAGAGATGCCACCCCGAAATTCACATTTCTAGTTCTGATTAGGGATGCACCGCTTTCAACTGTTCACAAACAGCAGGCTCTGAATTGAGCAAAGACATGCGCAAACTAACCCTGGGGTTATTTACCATCAAAGACATTTGCAGCACAACATTTACATTGGGTGGAGTTAGCGGAAATGGGGAGCATTATCACTACAACTGTCAAAATATTGGTTAGAAAGGTGAATAGGGTGCAGAGGAGGAGTGAAAATATCCCACATCAATAGGATAATTCAGATTAATGTCTTACAATATATATCAACATATCCAGTGCAGCGCAGGTTTTCTTTTGGTGAGTATTTTCATCAAAAGAGATAATTATTCTGAGCATATGCACACCTTAATTATTATATATTCCTAGCATCTGTACAGCAGTCCTATTGAATTCTTGGTACTCATAATCAAAATGGAAATGCTCAACTACACACTAATACGATTTATGTTGTAGGTAAAATAATTTAAGGAACAGTACCAGACGCCGAGTAAAATAAGTTTTATATCAGAAAATAAGTTTAAAAGATTATTCAAAAATTATTGTTAAACTTTTAAATTAAAACTTATTCTCAAAGCAAAACGGATGAATGATAGATTATGAACCATAATCCTTACTTTTTCCTTTACTTCTCATCAAGCTGGGAAATCCACTCTGTAGCTTTAGACCTACAATCGAACATTGTCCACACATTAGTTTCAATGGGATTGTTTCCATGCCTACACATCTCAAAATAGAAGATCGCAAAATGCAACTGACCACACACCTAAAAACAGCAATACTAACAGACAAAGTTTGATTTCAAAATGCAGGACTGTTTTGTTTAGTTATACATTTCATTTCTTTTTCACACAAAATGTTACTCATGGTGTAAAATGAATACAATTAAGTTTTCACCAACTCCAGAAAATAACCTGCCTATGCATTTTGGCCTTATTTGCAACTAATAAAGCTTCGGTATCAGAAATATTTTGTTGTCAATATTGCAAACAGTCGGAAAACAAAAATAGGTTTCAAATAATATAAAAGACCCCCCTCAAAACACATTTATTATCTACCAAGATTGATGTGTGTGTGTGTAAGGGTGAGGTAGGGTCTTCATACAGGCATGAAATTGAAGTTTTACATAAAAAACCTGGTGATGCAAAAACAATTCTCATCATCATAAATCTTAAATATACCAAACATATAGGTCAGATGTATGCACACTATTGCTAAGGAATGGCTAGCCCAAGATTATGCCCTTGCTAACTTACCTTGTATTTCAAAACAGGCTAGTGAAACTAAGGCTGTTGGAAATCTCAAATCTTTTGTCCACTGCAGGCTCAGTTCGTGCTTACTTTTTCCATTTTGCTGCCATCTCCTGGTGGGTAGAATCTCATGCAAAGCATTCTGCACCGCATAAAATTGGATTACACAACGACCGTACAGTCCAAATATGGTGTCAGCCCCCCCCCCCCCCGAACTCTTATGTTTTCATGGCCAACCAATCAGACACTATTACAGTTCCAAGTCATATATTTTCAAATACAGCAGAATAGATACAGAGGTCAATACGACTTCTTTTGGCTCTGCTTCAGCAGCTGCTCTCCGCAGAAAAGCAGCATTTGCAAAATGCATTAGGCTTCTCAGTTTCCAGTTCAAACTGCTAGGATTTTGAAATTCTGCAGCAATGGTTGAGGTTGTCTTCTGATATTTCCATGCGTATTACAAATAGATTCTGAAGTGCTCTAGCATAGCATGCACCGAGGCCTCATCTACAGGGACCATTTAATGCAGTTTAAAACCAATATTGAAGTAAATGATTTCATGATGCAGATGGTTACATAGGAAGTCCTGGAACAAACTTGAGACCTGGATGGCGATTATACAAAGCACAAAGCACTGGTGCACATTAAGGACCTTCTTTTGCACACTTTTGTGGTAGTTGTTGTCTGGCTGTCACAGTTTGAAGCTAGCCTTGACCTACATTAATGTAGATGGCTCCCAAGGGACAAAAAGTGAGGGATAGGCAATAATCTTTGCTCCCTCCCCAGATAACTGAATATTTGTTCTATATAGGGACTTGGTCTTGCAGATTTGAGGCTTATTACTTCTGAAGGACAAAAAATCAATTGCACTACGTTGGAAAGAGCACTACCAAAGCTTCCTGAATCGCAGCTCCAATATGCCCAAGAGGTTCTCTCACAAATCCCACAACAAACCAGGGATGAGCTTGCAGCACTGCTTAGTTAGTCAGCAATGCCATCAGCCAACAAAAAAATAACAAAGCCAGTGGACCTGATGGGATCCCTGCTGAAATCTTTAAAGAGGGAGGACCTGAGCTGACACAACTCATAGAAAAAGTGTGGATGACCAAGAAAATCTCAGCAGACTTCAAGGATGCCACCATCATCACCCTCTTCAAAAAAGTGGAAAGAACAGACTGTAGAAACTATCAAAGTATCTCCCTTCTAACCTCGGCTGGGAAAATCCTTGCAAGAATCCTTGCAAACCACCTTCTACCTCTCTCAGAAGACACCTTCCCAGAATCCCAGAACAGCTTCCACCCCTCCGAGGAACAGTGGACATGATCTTCACTGTACGACAGCTCCAAGAAAATCGCAGGGAACAAAATCAACCTCTGTACATGGCATTCATTGACTTCGCAAAGGCATTTGACACAGTGAATTGCAGTGCTCTCTGGGCCATCCTCCAAAAAATTGGGTGCCCTAACAAATTTGTGAACAGTCTGCGGCTCCTCCACGATGACATGATGGCAACAGTCTTGGACAGCAATGGCTCCCAAAGTGACCCATTTAAGGTGGAAATATGTGTCAAACAGGGATGTGTTATTGCCCCAACCTTATTTTCCATCTTCAGTGCTATGATACTTCATTTTGTTGATGGGAAGCTTCCCACTGAAGTGGAAATCATCTATTGGACAGATGGCAAGCTATTTAACCTCAGCAGACTGAAAGCCAAAACCAAGGTCACAGCAACATCTGCTATAGAACTCCAATATGCTGATGACAATGTCATCTGTGTGCATTCAGAAAAGACCTACAAGCCACTCTAAATGCCTTTGCAGAAGCCTAGGAGAAGCTCGGCCTCTCACTGAATATCAAGAAAACCAAAGAAGCGGATACAGTAGCCAGACAAAGCCTATCTTCCGCAAGAAGGCAAAGAATACGAAGAAGGCTGGAGTGTGTGGAGCCAGTCCAAGAGGATTCTGGCTATTAAGAGGTGCAAGCACTTCAAGTTGGGAGGAGACAAGAAGAGAAAGGGCCAGGTCATCCAGTTCTATACGTCCATCTTCACTCTTTGTCATGAATCACAATGAAATATCAACCTATTTCCAACCCCCCCCCCCCCCCCGAAGAAAATTCAATGCAGAAGAAAAAGGAATTCTCAAAAAGCGATCTATTTTCTAAACACTAAACAGCAATACTGAGACACATGGAGCTAGTATATCTCTCCCTCTCGAAAGCCAGTTTTGAAAAAGGCACATGATCCGCTTTCTTTTTCTGATTGGCTCTAGCAAGACTTAAAGGTGGGAGGGAGGAAAAACTCACATGCAGCTGCTCCTCTCTCACAGCGGTCAATATAACTGAAGACCGACTTTCGCCGCCCTGCTATTGCTGGTCTCCGGGTCCCCCGTCCCATTTCCGGAGATTGGGCTGCCAATTCAGCCGAATCCTATGAATCCAGAACAGCAATCTGATGTCATGCACACTCCTACTTATTACTCAGAAAACTTGGAAGACTGAAAGTTGCCATTCCACTATGGGAAACAATGTCTCTTTCAAATCATTTAAACTTTCTTCAAACTATTGCCTTCTTTATCCCAAGGCAAAGACAGTTGTGAGTGAAGCGGTGGGCAGGTAGGTGAGTGAATGGATGGGTGAGTGAATGAAGTAGTGGGTGGTTGAGTGTATAGGTAGGTGGGTGGATGGATGAGTGGATGAAGTAGTGGGTTGCTGAGTGTATAGGTAGGTGGGTGGATGAATGAGTGGATGAAGTAGTGGGTGGTTGAGTGTATAGGTAGGTGGGTGGATGAGTGGATGGATGGATTAGTGAATGAAGTAGTGGGTGGGTGAATGGATAGGTGGGTGGGTGGGTGGATGAGTGGATGAATGAGTGGGTGGATGAGTGAATGAAGTAGTGGGTGGCTGAATGTATAGGTAGGTGGGTGGATGAGTGAATGCAGTAGTGGGTGGGTGAGTGGATAGGTAGGTGGGTGGATGAGTGAATAGATGAGTGGATGGATGAGTGATTGAAGTAGTGGGTGGCTGAGTGTATAGGTAGGTGGGTGGATGAGTGAATGGATGAGTGGATGGATGAGTGAATGAAGTAGTAGGTGGGTGAGTGGATAGGTAGGTGGGTGGATGAGTGAATGGATGTGTGGATGGATGAGTGAATGAAGTAGTGGGTGGCTGAGTGTATAGGTAGGTGGGTGGATGAGTGAATGGATGAGTGGATGGATGAGTGAATGAAGTAGTGGGTGGGTGAGTGGATAAGTGGCTGGGTGGATGAGTGGCTGGATGAGTGGATGAAGTAGTGGGTGGTTGAGTGTATAGGTAGGTGGGTGTATAGGCTGAGTGAATGAATGGATGAATGAGTGAGTGAGTGAAGTACTTTTGCTGAAAGTGGGTAAAGCTGTTTAGGCAAGGCAGCAAGACATGTGGAAGGGAATGCTAGATTGTTTGCTGCAAAGAGGTTGTCTTCCTCTACGCTGTGTGCTGGCTAGAATATCTTGGTGATAATTAATAGGGGTAAATATAAAAGCTATTCAGCAGGGTTCAAGCTGAAAGTTATTACTTTTGCTGAGCAGCTTGGAAAGAGAGCTGCAGGAAGCACAGTTTTCTGTAAACAAGAAGTTGGTGCGCAACTGATGGAAAATTAAAGACAAAATAGAGAACACCAACACTTGGTGTGCAATTAGAAGGCCTAAAACAGGAAAGTTTTCACAAATGTTTGTATATGTGAAGAAAATGTGTGGCAATGGCTGTCGTGTGTCTTATGAGATGTTGCAAATGAAAGCACAGGAGGTAGCATGTAAATGTAACCTCCTCCCAACTCAGTTTAAGGCAAGTTCTGGTTGAATTTTAAGGTTCATGTGGCAACACAATCTGTCTATATGAAGGAGAACCATACTATGTGAAAAGCTGTCACCTAATTACACCAAGAAGATTGAAAGCTTTCATTGATTTGTCTTGCATAGGTGCAAGGAAAACCCACACCACCTTTCTCAAATTGATAATCCTGATCAGACTGTAGTGTTCTTTGATATGTCCCACAACAGTAGTATTGTATTAAATGGGTCATCCAGTGTTACCACGAGAACCAGTGATCATGGGACATTACAGTGCATTATAATGCTTGGTATTAAAGCTGATGGAAGGAAGTCTCCACCTTATATATGAACCATCTAGGAGCTAAAGATTGTCTGGGGAGGCCCTACTCTCGATCCCGCCTGCCTCACATGTGCGATTAGCAGAGACAAAGGACAGGGTCTTTTCAGTGGTGGCCCCCCTGGCTATGGAACTTCCTCAAGAATATTAGATCGGCCCCCTCTCTCCTGACCTTCTGAAAAAAAAGTAAAGATCTGGCTCTTTGAGCAAGCTTTTGAGAATGCAGCGGAATAGATAACAAGGAACTATGAATTATGAACATGTCATGACCACACGATGTTACTGGATAATGTTTTTTACAGGAAGACATTGATGATTATATGCTTTAATGGTTTTTATATATGTTTTATATTGTAATGTTGATTGTTTTTAATGGCACTTTTATGAATCCCTGACGTTGAATTGTGCCAATCTGTAACCCGCCTTGAGTCTCCGTATGGCTAAGAAAGGTGGGCTATAGATATCGCAAATAAATAAATAAATAAACAAATAATATCATTTTAAAGAGGAAAAGAATGCCTAAGGGAGTACAATTTCTCCATTGAATTCATGTAAGAGTGCAGGCAAAGGGTTGAATGGACAAAGGGCCTCAAAAATCACAGTCTGTACCAGTGAACAAGCTCTTTGAAGACCACTTGAAAACTACTTTTTTACAATGAGTGGATGATGAGTAGAGATCATCAATTGACACCTGCTGGAAATGTGAAGCACCCGTCCTTAGAACTGATGTTCACATGTGTAATTAAGAACTGGGACCTTATCTCGGAGGTCACTGTTGTCAAAAGTTTTATAAAAACTGATATTTCTAATGCACTGGATGAATCTAAAGATGATGCACTGTGGAGAGTTTATGGACAGGAAAAAAAAACCTGACATGAGCAGTGCTGAGGACTGAGCACTAACAACAATAATAAACTTTATTTGTATCCCCCAC